GTACTACAACAGGGCAGAAGGGTGTTCTACAAACATGGCGTGTTCTAGAGGTACTATATAAAACCAACAGATCCAAGATTGGGGCCATGCCGCGAACGCTGCCATGTCCATGCCCTGTCCATCATCGGCTGTCATTGACCATGTTGCTGATTGCAGGCTGGATCATGACGGATTCGTCTGCTTCTGTGGGTTCTCCGATTCTACCGGCAGTTCCATGGAGTTGGGTGCTATCCATGGAGGCAGGAGGTTAGGTGCCCACATCCACGAGCCCTGGATGGGACTCAGCAATACCCAACTCCATCTGCAGGTTCTCTCCCCTGTTCCTTGCATCATTCCTGTGGTCCCTTCGGCTGAAGGCCGAAGGCCCCCCCGGCCAGGAGCCATCGGTGCGGCTCCTCTGAGCGTGGCTCCTGGACCTCGGAGCGTGGCGCATAACTGGCGCAGAACTGGCGCATGTTCATGAGGGATGTCTATTGAAGAAGAGGTTGATATAGACACCTAATAACCCCAGGAAACTGAGGGACACCCCTTCAAATGAAGAAGGATCATCCTAATAACCCCCGGAAATCCCACCTAATGGACACCCCAGGAAGAGCATGTTGACCGATAGACGAGGTTCTAAGGGGTGTCCATGAACCACCCCGACCGTGGGTAGAGTCTTTGCCGATGTTCATCTTGGCAACCCAAGTTCATGATGCCGACGAACTCTTTCTGTCCATCTGCACCCAGTTTTACCGTGGTTTTACCGGATTTAAACCCGCTCAACCTGTCTCCGTTTTCCGTGCATACCCTAAGCTGGGTCCAAAAATAAAGCATTCTCCCACCAAATCAAGCAGCTCAGCTCCGCACGCAGTTCAGCTTTGGGGTGATGGTTGCATCGTACACCCAGGTCAATCGATTCCCCTAAATCCCCGCTTTTGGGAGTTGCTGGCCTTTCCAAGAAAACCTTTCCTTCTCGGGTCTTCTAATCTTGCCACGCAAACGACTTCGATTTTGTTTTTTGATCAAATGTATGGACCCTGTTCATTGAAACACGGAAGAAAAGAACACCTGGACAAGAAATGCAGTGCCCGACATGAATGGATGGTCCTCAAACCGAGCGACCTCTCCTTGCACGGCACCTCTTCTCAGAATCCCCAGAGTTCGTGTCAGCTGAATCCCTCTCGTGCTGGTTTCTTCCGAAAACCTCCGATCAGAGACCCCCCACTTGAAGCTCCACCGGCAGCGTCTTCAGCATCGCCTGGGCGTTCTCATCCCGCACCTTCGGCGTGGCGGTCCCGCGGCGAAGGATCGGATGGCTCGCGGTCCAGCTCGATACCGGTCCAGCTCAGTTCCCAAAACGCCGGAGGATAGGAGGGTCCACTCACTGGGTGGGACCAAAAAACCACCCCCCTGGACCACCCATTCGTACAAAAAAAACATGCTCTAATGGGTTGTTTGATACACTTCTTGGGGGTGCGAGCGTTTTTTCTATTAGAAAGATGTTCTCGAGCACCATTTTTTGGTCGAGCACTTTTCTTGGTTACTGGATGGTTTTGCAGATGTTTGTTGTGAAGACTTCAATAAATCCAAATCTCCCGGACTTTGTGCATTTTTGCACTCGCATGCAGCCATTTGGCATATAGATGGGTGGGCACTGGAAAATGAAGGAACAGGAAGGCGGGATGTGCAAACGTGGCAGACTGGTTGATCAATAAAACAGTTGTCACACCCTGCAGACTCGTGGCAGCAAACTATGGCGGAGTTTGCAAAGGAGCTGCGCTCAAGTCAGGCTGATCCGCATTTGGTGGATCAATACAACTCTTTGCAAAAACGGTGATTTGCATTATGTGACTGAGTCTGTTGCCCGCGCGGGATCCGCAAAACGAGCGCAAAAAATCCGCAAAACGAGCGCAAAAAAGCGCAAACGAGCGCAAGTTGAAAAACTGGTTGTTTCCACTTGTGTTTTTTGCGGTTTGGAACACTTTCAGGATGATTGCATGTCAGCTACCCTTTTGAACTCAAACCTCAAGGGCTGCTGGGATGTCAAAGGAAAGCCTAGACCTTGGACTCTTGAAGATTCGGACCATTCAGCGGTGCTTAGGAGAGTATCGCAGACAGTGGGCGCGCAAAGGATGGATCAAACGCAAGAGATAAAAATAGAGTCAAACCTAATTAACTTGTGCACAAGGTGCTGCTCGGGTGGTTACGGTGCAGGGCATGTGTGCATGGACTTGAATGCAATGCATTGTCTAGGAGACATGCTCGAGCACTTTTTGAGTGCAAAAAACAAACGAACAAAAAGGACTATGAAGGCTCCAAATCGAGCGCAAAAAGCTCGAGCACTTTTTCTTGGCTGTTTGGGGGCTACAGGCCAAGTAATACTGTTTCTGCCCCTCTTCAAAGACCCCCTTACCTCCACGCAGAAGCACCGCCCTTCCCCCTTCCGCACGGCCTCCGCATAGACGCCGCTGGTGGTCACCAGCCGCCCTCCGAAGCGCTCCAAGCGCTTCAGGCGGATGGCCGCACCAGCGTCGATGACCACCTCCGCGGGTCGGGGGCGCTTTTAAAGAAGGCGCTTTGCTCGGAAAGAAAGTCCAGAACCGGATGAATACTCCAAACCTACTCCATTATTATACATATACTCTTCATTACTCTTACATTCTATCCCCAGAATCACGAGATGACATAGTTTACCCATTGAAATAAAGGATGTCCTTTCTTCTTATGGCATTTGACTCTCGAGGGCATTCACTTGCCACGGGCAAAAGATCCAATGCGTGGGCAAGCCTGGGCACATGTTTCTGAGCTGCACCTGAAGATCGTTTTGAAGAAGGTTTTTGCAAAAACACTCCGACGGCGTCGCTGCCTGACGGCCATCCGCGCCCTGTTCCCAGAACGTCATGGAACCTCAGACTAGGCGTTCACAGCGGCGCTGAAGGCCGCTGTAATTATGCCCAGGCGGAAAGGAATATAAAGAAAACATTTCAAAAAACATTTAAAGAAAAAAACAACAACAATATATGTTCATAATGTGTTTCCTTGATTCTGCCTAACATACTCCCTAAGTGAGTTCTGTCCAATACCTGCCGTCCTGCTTTGTCCCATCTACGGACGCACGCTGTTCCATGCCCAACACCTTTCGTGCAAATCATATTATTGAGAGGGCAGTGCTAGACGAATTAACACATAGATTGCAATATGGATGCCGTATTATTCAAAAACTGAAGGAGGAATCTCAGCTGGGGATCTCGTTCGGATGCCATTCCAACGTCGTTGTCCTGGCCCAGCAACAGAAGGTACACTCCGAGGTTGTGTCCGAGGTGTCACTGGAGGAGGTGGGAGAAGGTGAGTCATCGACATTCTACACAGCTGCACTCAAGACCAATAAGATATGGCCCTTCAAAACCTTGAGCCTTTTTTGCAGGGCAGCTTGCCTTCTTCGATGGCGCCTGCTTCCTTCCCCTCCGTGGACGGCAGGGCCGCTGAGCCTCTCACTGTTTTTTCAATCGATCAGCTCTTAGGGATCGGGCGCGCCATAGAGAGAGTATTCCGCCAAGGGAACAAGCTCTTGGTGCTTTTTTGCCGTGCGAATACACTTTTAAAGTCATTGGGTATAGTGGAGCAAAAAGTCTTGCTCAACCAGTCACAGCTCCGGCTGTCATAAATGGCGGCCTTCAAGAAGTGACTGGACTGCAGTTCGGCCGTACGACGCACGTGGTCAATCTGCCACAATACTTGTTTAAGACTGCTGCTCGTACCCCATGGAAGCAAGTCTTTGCACCATACGTCCGCCGTCACGCAGACTAGCAACGAAGGCTACGAAGAGACACGTCGTGCATCATGTGGTCGACGTTGTTTTGGCGCGGCATTCATATGAAATTTAGGTCTGCAATGTATATTTCGGAGGTGTCGTCCTATAAATGGCTGTGGCCGGCTATTGAATGCTGGTTTTCCTACCACCTAATTGAAGTCTCGCGGGGTCGTACGGAACTGTGGCGGAAAAGTACCTTGATTTGGAAGTATCTTGCTAGTCTTCTTGGATCTTCTTAGTCTTCATTCATTTCGGGCCTGCATCCTCCACCATGACACTCAATGGCACAACTCGGATGTAGAGTTCTTCCACCTCACTTCATCCAATTACCCGGTTACCCCATGGCCACAACAACACACCGGAACCGCACCACAGTGTCTTCTGATTCAAGTTCTCAAGGGTGCACTTCCTAAAATGACTATTAACTATATACGTTGATGGCATGGCCCCCAATAGGATGACCATGTTCCGAATACCAAGCAGGTGGTGCCATCCACGTTTTTATATAGATATTGACTTAGAGTAGATCGTGGTCGAGTCAATGAAAGCAACGATCCCCAGTCGTCTGCCACCCAGTCGCAGAGCGCTTGAGAGGCGCGCACGCCGCTGTCAGAGGGGAGAGGTTTGGGCTCGCAAACCCCTGGGCTGTTCGGCCTGTGCCTTCTACTGTTTCTCCTGCTGTTTGGCTCACGAACGCCTGTTGCTGAGACTGCTGTGCCTCAGACACTCTGGACCCTTGTTGAGACTGCCGTGGGCCTGATGTGTTTCATCATGCTTGATCCTCAACTAACTGACTGACTATATAACTATAAATATCGGTACTTCACGTGCCCACATCGCGCACGACACGCTTCTTGTCACATGGCCATCAAATACAACTTTTGTGTACATATGAATACATACGTTTCTGATGAATCAATCCTTGAGCCCGAGCAGCGGCATAGAAGCACAAACCTCTGCACGGCACCATTGACTTTGAACGGCTATCGGCTATCTGCATTGGATCCAAAGATGATGTCTCCGTCCTCGGGCGGAAGAAAACGAATGCCCATCACGGCGGTTTCTTTGTGTTCTCAACCCTGAATGCAGCCTGGCGTGTGTGTTTTTTGCACCATCCATACAAGTCCGGTAAAGCACCGGAGAAAACCCACGGCTTTCAAGCCACCAGCAAGGCTCGCAGCATCCCAGTAGGACATGTTGGGGACACTTTTTCGCCGCCGCGCAGCATCCGGTCGCAGTGGAACGAAGGTCAGGACCCTGAGTTCCATCCACGTGCCGGTCGTTTGACCGGAAGCTCATACCTCCTCCGGTATGAACAAAGAAAAGACGGCTCGCACCTGGCCCCAGGGCGGATCGCGGTGGCGGGTAGAACGACCACCCCATGGGCCCACGGCTCGCACATGCTCCCAAAGGCAGCATGTGGTCCGGTCGACGTCCTGGTGCCCTTCACATCGACATCCGTCACGTATGGAACACCCGTTCTCGTCGTAAGGGAAGCGATCCTCGTAAGGGAAAGCGTAGGAAAGCAGTCAGTGACCATGCCATCCACGTACCCATGTTGGTGAGTCAGAGATCTGCCGGCTAGCTCCCTCTGCCACAACTCCATTAGGGGTTGTGACATGCTGCGGGTGACCATCTGCTGCTGGAAGCTGAAGCCGTTCTTGGCGGGATCTGCTGCTGCGTTCTGTTGCCGAACTGTGACCACAAATGCCACATGGAAACCCGCTGCGTGACCCAGTGGTTGCGCAAACCCCCTCTTGAGGCTGCATGCTACCCGAGTGCATCTACCGTGGTTGCTCAATCTTCTGTGGCTCTGCGACTGTGGCATGGCTGGCGCAGTCATCTGTTGCAAGCCACATCCTTGGCTAGCAGCTATGGCACACTGCAGTTCATCCGGTCACACTCAGCCAGCTCGACCCAGGACAAGCGGCGACTCCGGGAGATCTCGGGTCGCTCTCGCAGGAGTGGCCAGTTCCACGCCCATCTGCCAGGCCACCAAGCTCATGCGCTGGACCTTGCTTCCAAGGAGGGGGAATAGAATCCGACATTCGGCCGCGGCAAAGAAAACCCATCGCTGTTCTTGCCATTGTCTGCGATTCCTACCCTTGGACCTTGAGGGGGATCAAAAAAAAATGACCTCTCGAAAGTAGGAACAGTCTGAATATGCTCCTGAACATACATGAGTCTCCTCCCCAACAAAGCACCGGCAGGGGAGAAGAAAACGACTTAACCAGCAATTTCTCCGCGTCTTGAGTCTTGTGGTTGACAAATTATTCCCACAATCACAATCACAACAAAAACATCAAGCTTTTTGCCAGAGACACGAATCCCAATCCAAGCTATGTCCACCAAGCCTTCCACAGTTGAAACATCCCTCCGAGATCGCTCGTGGATGGCTAGCTAGGCAAGGGCCAGTGATTTCAGCCCTCCTGCGAGCGGAGAACAGGCTCCAGATGCCCCTGCTTTCAATCACTCCCTATTGATCAACCAAGTCAAAATCTCCGTGTCCCTTTCACTATGAACGACGGCCCCAGAATCAAATCAAGCTTCGATGATGTATTTATATAGTTATTTATATTTTATATCAGGTCATCTTAGAAGTCATCATGTCGTCCCTCACGTCCCTTCCGTCCATGTTGGGCCTCGTAGGCCTCGTAGTCCTCCTCTTCCCATTCCTCTGCACCTTCAGGTTCCGGAACGCAACTTAGCACGTGAAGCGCCTGGCAGTGACCGACCAACCACGCACTGTGCACCTGGCGAATCCGAATTTGTAGCAGGTCGAGTCGATTCCTATAGGGTGAACCAGAATGGGTGCCTTTCCCGGAAAGGTGTCTGGATGGCATTGGTGATGTGAAGAACATGATGTTCATTGATTTTCCCACTGCTTCAAGATCTTCAAAAATCCACACACCCACCCACCCACCCACCCAAAGAAAATAAACCCCACGACTCACGACCACCGAAAAAACCGCCGCAAAACGTCTTTTTCTTCGGCTTCTTCGTTCGCGGTCCCCGGGCGCCCGTGGTGAGACGTGGGGGGGCGCGCGGGCGGTTCCGGGCCATGTGCGTCTAACAGAGCTCGTGCCCCTCGGGGGGCGGTGAGTGGGTGTGACCCGAGATGTGGGGGGGGTCATCCGAACATGGACGCAGGGGTGGTCGAAAGGAGAGAATACGAGAAAAACGGCCCCAAAGCGCGGTGGTCGAAAGGAGAGAGGCGACCTTCGGGTCTGATTTCTTTGAAGCCACACCCAACTGACTTGGCAACTAGATCGCTTCTAACTGGTCGACTTCGCTCCAAGCTCTGGTCGCTCAGCCCAAGGGTTTCTTCACCCAAGTGCTGGCCGATGGCAAGGCCTGCCAGCTGGTACAATTGCCGAAGAGCCGGCACTTGCCCTCCTCCTCACTCCAGCTGGCAAATCCACATCCGCTCTGCTTGATGCAGTTCATCTTGCAGGACGCACCGCTCTTCGCCTCACGAAAGAGTAGAGTGCACTCACTTTTTTCGGGGAAACGCAGTCCGGGGTGAAAGGGACGCCAGAAAGCAATCCGTTGGGACACCCCTGCTGTGGAGTACCATCAGGATCCAGTCATGACAGAGAAGACTCTTGGGAGTCTGCTTGTACCACCAGCTTGGGATGGCCAGCACGCGATGCCCCCTTGAGGTTGTGAGATCAGATGTTCTACACATCGTCTACCGGTCAAACCTTCTGCTGCGAGAGCTTCTAAAGGAAAGTATAGACTTCAACCCTCGAAGATCGTCGCTGCCTTGAACATGCCGGTTTGAATCACTTTAAGAAGGTGATGGGAAACCAACCAGGCGCTTCACCAGGTAATTCTACACCAGGCGCGCAAAACACCAGGCGGCAAGCATTGCAAAAACTGGAAGGTGCTGGGAGGTTCAATGGGTTTATGCTTATATCGGCTTATATCATCTGATGGGAAATTCACGGATGATTCGCTGGTCACATTGTTCTATCTATGTCATTTTGCTGTAGGTTTCTCTCATATGTCGGGATCATTCTAGGCATCACTACACACCCAGAATTTGGCAACTGGGAGTCATAACCCACTACTACCCCCTGGTGAAGAATGAGTCGTTGCACTCTCAGGGTCATTGTCATTCCATTCTCGCATCCCAGCGGTCCCTCATCTGTGTCAGCACCGCGCCTCATCGGGCTGTGGCAGGAGAGTGCCAGTGCACTTGCCCAGGCCTTTGTCAGACGGATACATGATGAAGCCCTTGGAGGCCTTGCAGGCCAAGAAGGACTTGTATCGACCGCCTTTGCCATCCATGCCTCGGATCGCGGACGGAGCGCGTGTCTTTTTCGCGCGAAAGGAGCGGTTCTGGTCTCGTCTCGTTGGTTCGGCACTCTGCAAACATATGTCTGTTCCAAGTTTCATGTGAGCTACAATCCAAACCTACAACCTCTTCGATCCCTTTCAATGGTTAAGGTGGGGAATTCCTCGTTCCTCCCGAACCAGTCTCAGCCGATCCATCTCACAGTCAGTGCAGAAACCCATCGAACCTTCCCTCTCCCCCGCGACCTCCTCGGACCTGGGATCGAGCCCAGCGCAACGCACGGTTAGTTCGTCAGGTCGATTCGTCGATTTGGTTCGTCCAACAAATGCCTCCTGGAGACCCCAAACGGGCTTCCTGGAGAAGGCCTGCTCATAGGTCCGACACGTCTCCGTGGGTTCCTGGGTCAGTTGCCCATCGCCGATCTGCACCCAGCTGTTCTCTTCGGCACCTCGGTTAGGCGCGGGTTTGGGCGTGTTTGGGCGCAGCGCAAGAGGTGATGGGAGGAGGAGGTGGCCCCATGAAGTTGGTGGACTAGTGTGGGATCTAAGCCGATCTAAGCATGGCCAATATAAAGCAACAATCATTGTGGTAATACCCGGAAATCTATATAAGGTTCTTTGGCCCAACGAGGACCATCCAAGAGATCACAAACAACTACTAAGAAGTCCAATTCGACGAGAAGACTGGCACCACCAAAGTACTGGAAGTTCATGTTTTTTGGGGGGGTTCAATGCAAGACCTTTTGCCTCGTTGTGGACTCCCATTCATGAGATCGGCTGCCTCTCGGCTGCCCCCTCCGATCCGGCGGCTGAGATCGCCCAAACCCAGCCGAGGCACCTCCCAGGGGAGCCCACTGGTCCCCCGGCGGACTTTTAGGGCTCACAGTGAGGTTCCCCTCGCCTTGGCAGTAGTCCTCGAAGTGCGCGAGCCTCAGCAGTCGGAACGCTGATGAAAATAGTTGACCTGGTGTTGTAGGGTGCAAATTGTTGGTTAAAAAAGGGTTCTTTGACAAAGACCTTTAAAATCAATGGTTGTTGGAATTTCCGTGGATCTTGTATCTCCTGAAGACCCAAATCACCACTCCCAAATCGGTCATGTCCCAGGAGCTTCATGTGCCGCTTCACGCAGAAGCTGACGGCATCAATGTAACTCTGCCGGTTCCAGCCATCTCGGAACGAGAACCACACCATCGCCTCGCAGTCCGCTGAGGCAAGCTGCGCAAGGCTCGCAGCTTGCGGTTCCATCCGAAGGCAAAAAAACATCGGGAAAAACAAACAGATACAAAGGAATCCGCTCCTGAGAGGTAGAAATTGAGCATCCATCATCCCCGCAATTCAAGAAAAAATCATCGTAAATGCACTTCGTGAGTCCCAAACCGACACTGTCCGAGACCCGTCCGTAGAAAGCACTTAACCCATCACCACCACTGATGCAATCCCATCTTCTCCGCTCCAAACCCCTTGACCGGTACTTCGGTCCACCTGGCTTTTCACCCAAAACAACCTGGTACCACCTGGTCACCACTACCCTCCCCCTCGAACTCCGAACCGAACCCAGTCCGCGCCCAGTCCACCCGACCCGCGCCTTGGGCACCGCCAGGGCGCCGGCCAGGCGGCCGATCATCGCCGCGCTCAGCGGCTCGGCATAGAGCGCCAGGTCCTGACGGAGACTCGGGACCGGTGGGGCGGCTGGTGACCGGGGAGCCGGCGGAAAGGAGCCGGGGGAACTCCACCAAGACCTTCGGTGGCTGAAAAGGAATCCCAGTGCATCATCTAAAGTTCGTGCGAAGAATGAGTGCAGAAAACAAACATGTCTCAGAGGGCCTTTCTTGGTGTGTCCTCTGCTCCTGATGCCTTTCTTGGGCCGTTTCTCGTGACTCTCTCCCGTCGACTCTTTGAGATGCACCAACCCGACTTTCCACACCACCTGGAAGTAGAGTTGTAAAGGAACATCGTCCACTTCCTTGTGACATGCCGTCCACTTCCTTGCGATATGTTCGGAGGGCAGGGCAGCCCTGTATGAGCCAGAGTGGCTCTGCTTCAGCCTGACGTGTACCCTCCTTACCGCCCCAATAACTTGGGAGCCACGATCCACGAAAACCGCTGAGCTGAGCTTCGATCCATGCAGAAGAACCATCGAGTCGAGTGGCGAAACCCCGTTTTGGTACCCCAACGCACCGTCGAACGCCCTGGCGTCTCCTGGGCGTTCTTTGGCAAAGGCACGGTTTTTTTGTAGACCCTTAGAGGTGTTTTCTATAAACAAAGGCATTGGGGAGTTCAAAAAAAACTCTTCCTATATATGGTGGGGCTAGAGGTTGATTCAAGAGTTTCCATTCCCATCGACACGTTCGGGGAGGGGCCTTCAACGCGCCGGTCCAACGGGCATTGCCCTGGTACGCGCCGATCATCACCTTCGCCTGCTCGTCGGGCGAGTAGCGCCACCTGGCGCCACAGCTCAGGGGGGTTGACCAGGAGGGTTTGGAGTGGGAGTAGGCCACCCCTGGAATGGTGCACAGAGACTTCGAACCACATCTTTTGAGGACCATTCATATCCAGTAATAAACACCCCATGGCCGGCACCAGCATGAGGGAGGCGCGCAGGACTTTGGAGTAAGATGGGTCAGGCAGCGTACCGGACACTGGTCACGTGATGCATCTGGCTCTGGAAAAACAAGTTCTGTGGGGATTCCGGGCGAAGCAAACGAATTCGCATCGGATTCGCTGTTGTAACGGTGCGATCACCAACATACACCTGGACAACAGACTGTCTGGAAGATGGTCTTCTTCTACGTCTTCCACGTTGGTGAGTCAGAGGGGGTTTTCACGTTGCCATGAGCGGGGCTGCTCTTTCTACTCAAGGCAGCCAGGCAGGGGTGGGCCCTTATCTTTGAGAGGGCCCCGTCGACCTCAATTTAAGCATTCCGTGCGAGAGCTGTCGCTTTGCTGGTGAGAGCTGTCCAGGCTCCACTGAAACTGGCCAGGGCTGCTGGAAGGGGCAGGCTTTTACCTCCAAAGCATTGAGGTAGATCCGCGTTTCATTCCTCGGCCCAGCCGTGCCAGCGGTACTCAAAAACGAAAGCGACACTGTTGGGTGGAACATGACCGTCGGTTTACGTGATCCTCATAAACCGAGTTGGCGCAAGCCCTGTGCCAGAGCCCTTACGGGCAGACGGTTCTAAGTCGCTAGAAGCAAGTGGGAAGAAAGGGGTCCTCACAACGGCTCTATCTATCTATCTATTTATCTATCTATCTGTCTGTCTGTCTATCTGTCTATCTATCTATCCCCATCCATCTCTCTCTCTCTCTCTCTCTCTCTTTCCCTCTCTCTTTCTCTCTCTCTCTCTCTCTCTCTCTCTCTTGAAAAAGGGGGTCAACTGAACGTCTACAATGCCTTTCCCAGTGATTTGCTATATAGCTTGTT